GGGGCAATCTCCTCAAAGATGAAGAAAAGACTTAAAGCAACAGAAATGTGATTCTACAGAAAGATGCTGCTGATACCACAGACCGGACATATGACCAATGACGAGATTTTATAGAAAATAAAAAAAAAGGAATCCTACTTAACATCAGGAAGTGATAATTCAAATTTCTTGGTTACATAATGAGGAAGGAGCGCTTAGAAAATCTAATACGCACGTGACAAAAAGGGAAAAAGGAAAACAGCGCATAACATACTTGATGGGCTTGAGTAAATGGATTGTGGAACAGGGCTTAAGAGAAATAGCAAAAAGAAAATTTATCAAGAGCTAAAAGGGACAAGAAGTTGTGGAGGGGTATGATCGCCTACGTACTGAGCAGACATGGCACATAAATATGATGGGCCCAAAGACTTAATGGTCAAAACTATAAACTACTTAGAAGGCTGGAAAGCATACTCGACTAAACTCTATACTATAGTACCGCGACGTTTTACATTCAAGTACAATACTCGACTGGCGATGCGGTCTCATCAATGTACGGTTTAGTTGAATAGATGTAACCGTTAATTCTACGCAAACAGTTACTTTTCTCGCACTTGTCGAGCTCCCTTCCAGCCCACTACTTTCCAACTATCTTTAATATTCCAAAATTTAAATACAATTTCAATTGCTATCTACTGTCCTCCTGATTTCTCTTTTGTTCTGTCATGAGTAATGATTGTTTCTTCCATATTCATCAACCCTTTGTGTCTTCAGAGTCTGTCTATATTTCTGAGATGAGGTATTATGTACATTATTTACATTAATCGGACTATTGTCCTCATCTTTGTCGCCGTATTTATTACAACGTTTCGGCCGTTGTACGCTCTCCGACCTTCTTCAGGTGGTTTCGCTCACCGGGGTAGACTGTTCTAGTTCCACGTGGCATGTTTGATGGATGTCAGTTATCAGTTATCTCCTGTTAATTTCCCTCTGAAAGTTCTCCACTGCCTTAACCGGGTATTGAACTCACACTCTTTGGGTCCTGTCACTGGATCTAACCAACGCCTTTATCCACTGTACCTTTGTGTCTTAGTGGCTTTATTGCCTTGCTTGTGGTTAAACTATTTAAAAAAAAAGTAGTAACAACAAAAAATATATATATATATATATATATATATAAATTATTCGTGGAATAATGAAAATGTTTCACTTGAAAGTTTAAAAAAAAAAAAAAAAGAAGCTCTGTCCGGCCTATGTCAAAGCGATACATTTCTTTTTCATCGATTCAGTCAGTAGCTACACCTATTTTCCATCTGTTCAATCAATAGTCTTCTTCGGAATAAATATTTTTGCCCTATTGCTGCCATCAAGAAAACTTTTTTCTTGTCTCTGTGGCTTTGTAATATTCAATTGGAGGCAAACGGGAGATCGATAAAAATGGCGCTGGTCACGTGATACACGCTTAACGATAACTGTAAAAGTTATGTTCCTTTTTTTTTTTTTAAGTTGGGATGGAGGAAAGAAAGGCTAAGTGAAGAGTCGGCGGAAGAGCTAAGATCTAGAAGAAAGAAAGCGGTTGAATATTATGCAATGAAACAAGAAACAGAAACGGAGAAAGAAAAACAAAGGAAGCGGGTAGCAACAGAGGGCGTGGGGTGGGTGGAGACAAAGGAAAGTAAACTAACAAAAACAATTCTGAATGCAAAAACAGATAGGAAGATTGAAGGAGACATTTAGAAAGGCGAAGATACTGCGATGGGCTAAAGGAAGGAAAAAATATCGGACAAAAATCTAAACAAAAGCTTATGCAATCGATTATATATAACTAAAAATATAGGTTTTTAGATATCTGGTCTGCTGCTTCTGTTATGTATCTCGAGATTCGTGATAGAATCCAAAGAAGAATCAGCAACATTATCGGTCCTGACCTGGCATCTCAGCTTTAGTTACTTTCCCTACCGCCGTTACATAGCTTTCCCCGGCCTTTTCTATAAACATTTTCATGGTAATTGTTCTGGTGAGCTTTCCTTCCCATATCTCAGGTAAAAAAAAAAAAGTGTAGCTTAGATGTGGCCTCTAGTGAGAATCGAACTCACTACTCAGTCGTAATTGTTCTAGCGAGACAAGCTTGTTAACCATTACACCGCCTCGAGTTGTCCAAAAATTGTAAATATGGGGACTAGCTAGCACTTCATAGAAACTTTGAGGTATTATGGTGGATGTACTAAGAATAGTAAGTAAGAATGTGTTCTTTCGCTGTAAGGAATAATGTGGAATATTTGGGTCAGTAATTGTTGCTTGTTAAGTTTAATTATAAGACAAAAGACCAGCCTTCCTAAACCCCCTTTTGGCCTTGTGCCACATTTTTTGTATATTTACAAAATGAATATTTCTTTCCTCTTTGGCAGTAACAATAGTAAAGAAGGATGTGTTGTTTTGGTGTAAGGAATACTTCTTTGGGTCAGCAATCGTGGCCAAGATAGTTTAAGATGAAACAGACTGATGACCAGCCTCCTCCCCCTATCACGTTTTTGGCCTCGTGCTTTCCTCTTTGGTACCTCATCTTTACGATTTTAAGTGCAGTGTTAGGAAGTCATCGTTTTGGATATTCGCAGATAGAACCGTAAGTTCTATGCTAACACATTCTTCTCTTGTACTTTCTAGCTCCTTGCTTTTCAGACAATTTTCATCTTCAAAAATGTTCTGTCTCCTAAAATCTCGTTTTTATTCAGCCTTTAGTGGCTTTATTGCCTTGTTTGGGGTAAAATGAATGAAAAATATGTTACATTTACGAGAGAAAGGTGATCACGATATTAGGACAACATGTACGTACATATAAGCAGTGTGATCTTTGGTAGCAATACTGAATAGTGACAGTGTTTCTTGCTTAAAATCATCAGGCCATTTTTTAACGATTGCGTTTAAGCCTGAAAGACTATTCTACGTTTATAACTATGGCCACACTTCTCTATTATATATATATATATATATACACACACACAGGGTGAACCATAAGTTTCCATACGGATTGAATCCTGTAAATGGACTTCAACCAAAGTGAACGAGGATGCAAACTTTTCAACTAAGATTTTGTTCACTAATGAAGCAAATTAGTACGTCAATAGAGGTATTGAACTACTTGGTACAGTCGATAAAGGCTTTAGTTAGATTCAGTAACAGGACTCAAATAGTGTGAGTTCAATACCTGGTTAAGGCAGTGAAGAACTTGGAGAGGAGAATTAACAGGAGATAACTGACATCCATTAGACATGACACGTGGAACTAGAACAGTCCACCCCAGTGAGCGAAATAAAGAGTTCAGTTCGACATTCCAACCACCTGAAGAAGGCCGGAGTGTAAAACGGCCGAAATGTAATAATTATAGCGACAAAGATGAGGACAATAATTCGAATAAAGTAAATAGTGGGAAACTCGTATTAATATGTTTTCGAAACAATGTTAATCATATAGAGCACATTGTATAAATAACAGTTGTCCAACATAAAATGTTTATTTTTTTTCTATGTATGGAAACTAATGGCCTACCCTGTAACCATACAGACGCACGAGTGCGCAACATTTATTTTTAGTTCATCGTTTGATGGAATTGATTTTAAAGTGAAACAAGGAAATAGTCTGAAATAAAATTTATTCATTACTTATGGTATTAGTTATCCTATTTCATTTATATTACTCTATAAATGAACTGTGATAATATTTGTAGCCTTTTATTAGACGTTTTTGTAATATTGTTTGAATTTCTGAAAATCGGAAGACCGAAATTATATATATATATATATATAAAAAACTATACAAAATATTTATTTTTTCAGTTTTTCGATTTTTTATATTCAAAATATAGCAAAAAACGTATTACAGGAAAATACTAGTGGAATGTGAAGAGAGATATTTTCTTTTCGTCAAGTCTCATAATTATTTCCCTTTATTTTATCAGAGAAGTACTCATAAATAAACTGTAATAATTTTCTTCATCTGATTATTCATACTTTTTTTTTTACTGCAATATTGTTTGAATTTCTGAAAACCGAAAAATAAATGGCCCCCAGAATTTAGGATATTGGATTATATATATATCAAAAATTTGCATGGTCTGCTATTTTTTTATATATCACATTCTATATATATATATATATATATATATATATATAAAAATGGCCCGGCTATTCTATGTTTAGAAAAGGGGATGATTATGAACTATGATTTTCAAGGCTCCTTTTGCATTTATTGCATTAATGTAACGCGCTGATCTTCCTCGCATTGTCCTCAATGTCATAAGGTTTAGGAATGTGAATGAAATAGATGAGTGGAAATTGAACAAAATAATTGGAAAAGAAACGAAAACAATAAAAAGAATAAAATGTTTGAAAAGAAAGCAAGACAGAGATAGGAAGGGGGTCAGAAAGAAAATAAAAAAAATTAAGTTGCGGAGGCCAGAGAAAGAAAATTCTGGAATGTTGGGGTGGGGAGAGTTGGAGGCCAGAAAAAGAAGAAAACGATAACGCCAAATGCTAATTTAAGAGAAACAGAATAAGAAATTCCAATGCTGAAGGCAAGAAAGAAAAACCTTGAGAACAATAATATAAACATGGGGATAAATAAAAAGTTGAATGTAGAAAGAAGAAATCCGATAAAGAAATAAAACGAAAAGAAAATTTGTTAAAAAGTAAAAACTGAAAGACAAAAAACAAAAAGAATAAAAAAAAATTCATTGAGGAAAAAAAAAAAAAAAATGAAATGTAAACAAAACTATTTTTAAAAACATCTGTAATTATTAATGAAGCAAAACAAATATTTTAAAAAAATGATACCTTGAGACATGTTCAAAGCTTTGCGCTTATTCATCTGTGTACATGAGTGAATATCATTTGATGGTCAATTTAGCATCGTACTGTACCTAGTTAAAGTATGTCCATTGTCGAATTAAATGATTCCTTGCGGAGAAATTATCTCAAACTGGCCGGTTTCAGCTGATCAGTGGGTAATGAGCGACCAAACGCGAAATGGCGGTCGAACGTGCGACCAAACGCGAAATGGCGGTCGAACGTGCGACCAAACGCGAAATGGCGGTCGAACGTGCGACCAAACGCGAAATGGCGGTCGAACGTGCGACCAAACGCGAAATGGCGGTCGAACGTGCGACCAACGCGAAATGGCGGTCGAACGTGCGACCAAACGCGAAATGGCGGTCGAACGTGCGACCAAACGCGAAATGGCGGTCGAACGTGCGACCAAACGCGAAATGGCGGTCGAACGTGCGACCAAACGCGAAATGGCGGTTTGCGACCAAACGCGAAATGGCGGTCGAACGTGCGACCAAACGCGAAAATGGCGGTCGGACGCGACCAAAACGCGAAATGGCGGTCGGACGCGACCAAACGCGAAATGGCGGTCGAACGTGCGACCAAACGCGAAATGGTGGTCGAACGTGCGACCAAACGCGAAATGGCGGTCGGACGTGCGAAATGGCGGTCGGACGTGCGACCAAACGCGAAATGGCGGTCGAACGTGCGACCAAACGCGAAATGGCGGTCGAACGTGCGACCAAACGCGAAATGGCGGTCGACATATGTCCGAGTATTATGGAGGTGTTTTAACATATCCTACTCGATAAAAAGACTAAAAAGATATAGGCAGATAAAATGTATAAAATATACAAAAGGCTAATTGGGAGTTTCTGTGTCATGTTTCTAGATAAGATATAAATATCCTCACAAACATGGGATATTTTTGTATTTTCTGTATTGTTTTAAGAAGAGTAATTTAACATTCAAATATTTCTTCAGACATAATTCAGATAAGAAAAGACCAAGAACAAAAATATTCGCTAAATTTTTATTAGTTGTTAGTATTTTATTAAAATTTTATAATTATGAACAAAGACTGTTTAATATTTTTGTAAACGTTTGCAACGCTAACCTTATATATATATATATATATATATGTGTGTGTGTTTTCAGTAGTCATCTGCATACATCGGTATAGTTTACTGTATCGAAAAGGCAGTTTATGAACTATGAACAAACATTTACTAAAGACTTTCGGCATTGTTTTTGTAGAGGCAAAGAGGTCCAGGGTTGCATGAAGTGTTTTGCAACAGCCAATATAACGCTAAAATATGGCTTACCTCCAGGACTAAGACTGGTTCGAACGTGTCTCGCATGTAAAATATTCCCAAAAGGAAGAATGACGGCTTCACTCGTCACACATTTAGAACAGATAGATCCCGTATCGTATTCACACTCACTGTGTGTGTGTGTGTGTGTGTGTGTGTGTGTGTGTATATATATATATATATATATATATATAGTCTCTTTTCACATATGTAAATTTGGCCTATCAATGAAGATATAAAAGTGTGCATGAAGAGGTGAAAGACAGAACGGTAACTGCTGTATTGAACAGATGTGTTTGCGGCCAGTGGAATGTTTGACTAAAGGAAAAGGATTGCAGGAATTGATTACAAACCAGAAGAAACTACAATTTTTACAAACTTTTCGATGTTTTCCATACAGGTGGGCGATGATACGAAAAAGGTTGGGAACTCTCGACTTATACTAAATAACTGGTTGCTCATACACTGTTACAGACAATTGGCTTAAGAAATGATAATCTATTCAATATAATAAGAAAAGACTGATTTCAACATTAACTGAGTTAACATTTGAAATCAACCAACGCATCTTTTGTTTTTCTTCCAAGTCCTCTGAAAATGTCTTTAGTTAAAATTCCTTCAATTTTCGTTAGCTACAGTGAAATAATTCGACAAACATAAAAACTATTAATGTTCCTTACTGATTGATTTTACTTTTTCAATATGTCTATTTTCTGATTTTTGGTTTGTTATATATATATATCTTTTCCCATGTCTTAGCACATTAGGCTAAAACGAGTTTTCAAAGACTTTTTGTTTATACCGTCAGTTTACAATTTTTTTTTAAATATCACGTTTCGCATATTCACATGAGAGTACTTGTTTATGTATTTTTAATTTAATTTTTTTTTACTTTCTCCAGTCTCCTACGTTTTTTTTTTCCGTTTGGTGGAAGCACAAAACTATCCATATCGTCCGTGATCCGGAAGCCAGCAAGGAACATGACACCAGCACATTGCAGAGAAATATCGTTGAACGATAACTAACAATAGCCAAAGAGAAAATACGGCATCTTTAAACAAATCCAACATTTAAAAATGCCTAATGAAGTGGCCGAAAGCGCTTCGGCCAATGTACGATATGGCTAATTTCTGTACTCCATTCACACCAAACGGAAAAATATAAGAACGCTGGTAAAACTTAAAAGAAAAATTCCCTTGTCCATTATATATATAGTACGAAATGGAAAAAATCCGACAATTATTTTAAGTTATCTTCTGTTTATACGTTATTTTCATAGACACATATTTAAGTAAATGCTCTGTTTATAATAAACAATATTAACATTTCCCGGCCTTAATATCCGAGAAATTTTCATAGAAAATATTGTCTTCCGACAGGAATCGAACCCGTATTCTATACGGAGCCGTCATATAGCCTGACGTGCTATACCAGTTTAGCTACAGAGGAGCGTCTGGTCAGCAAGGTCAATTTTACTGCTTCTTAACCACAGCCTTCTATGATTTCTCCTCGAACATTCATATCTGCACGATGCGTATCCAAACGTAAAGAAAGGTCCATTTCGTGGTGTGTGACGTCAAAGTCCGACAATTATTTTCAGTCATCTGTTTATACGTTATTTTTATAGATACAAATATTTAAGCATTTTCTGTTTATAATAAACAGTATTAACAACATTTACCGCACAAAGAAAGCATATGTAAAAATAAAACCGGACACCAAAGCCCACACTAAGCAACCGTGTGTGTGTCCCCTGAAAAGTACGACTACAAAACATCTCGTATCACTTTTTTATCACATAAAATGGACAATTCGGAAATATCTTTTAGTTTTACACTAGCAGTAGAAACCGGCGTTGCCCGGGGATGTAACAGTAAGAGATAGATCAAGTATCGACCATCATAAAGACTGAAAAATAAAATTGACAGATTATAGTTTAAGGTTGACAGATACGCATGTCCTAATTATTTTTTTTTGTTTTGTTTTTTTACGAATTGGTCAAACCAAAAAAAAAAAAAAACAAAAAGAACAAAAAAAAAACAAAAAAAAAATATTGTTTTCAATCGTTATTTGTCTACCGATTGAATAGAATTTTATCATAAACAATTGTCTTGTAAATGGAGTTTTTAAAGCATTCTGAATGTAAAAATAAAGAAAAAACTGTGCAAGACAATAAGAAACACTACCTGCCAAAAAAAAGTGAAGTTTTGTAGAAATCGGTTGAAAAATGTAGGAAATCCGATCCCATATATAAAGGAACACAGAAACAACCTGAGTTTTTATAATAAGTATAACTCGATATGAGTTGTCCCCCCTTTCATTCTCGCAATGCCTCTTAATCGTGTTTTCAAATTGATTTCGTGCAAAAACTTGTATTTTTCAACTTTTTGGCACTGTCAGAACCACCGCAAGGTAATTTTACGTAGTGCTATGAAGTTTTGTTGAAATCGGTTGAAAAATGTAGGAAATCCGATCCAATATATAAACGTACAGACACACACACACACAACCTGGGTTTTATAATAAGTCTGATTATATTAGTTATGTAGTTATGTCAGTGTTATTTTCCAGCGACATCGGTCATGTACAATATGTGCATCACAGTAATTCGTAGAAGAGTGGAAAAACTAAAGTGATTTCATTTGCTTTTGGTAAAGTTCCAACGAAAAAATACTAAGAAAAATAGAAAATATTTTAAATGAATAAGTGTTCTGGAAAATTGCTTTGTCCAAATAAAAGTATCTTACTTGTTCGGATGTTAATTCTAAAAGTGAAATAATCAATCGACACCTTATAGTGTTATTTACAAGTACAAAATATATTTTCATATAATCAAACAATAGTTCAACAATTTCCCCACAAAATCAGAACCTTCTACACCCACAAAAGTTCCATTCAAGTTGACGCATGGACACCAGATGTTTAGCCATGCATAACAAACACTAAAACATAATTATTCACATTTTATATATATACGCACACACACACACACAATACTTATGTATGCATACATACAAAATGACTTTGTGTATATATATATATATATATATATATACACACACACACACACACACACAGACAGATTACGTGATTACGTCGGATACGACGTACGGCGTTTTGTACTTATGACGCCATCTTCCATAATATATATGAGCAAGACGGCGTTGTTTCTTCACGGGCTGTACACCATGTTTGCTTGTGCTACATTCACTATCTCTCGTTTGTATCGTTTTTTTTTGGGGGGGGGGGGGCTTCTTTATGCCCACGAAGCTTAAGGGGGAGACTCGTGGGTTTTTATGTAGGTGAGTTCTGATCTATGTCGAAAATCAGGTTACGTGGCACAATGGAAACAGATCTCCGACCTAAGACCATGAACCTCTCTCTCTCTCTATATATATATATATATATATATATATATATATATATATATACACACACACACACACAAAGGATATATTTTTGCGATAAACAGATTTAGTCAAGACAATCAGTCCTTTCGAATACATATCAAGAATGTTTTTAACTTCTATCACCCCATGCAAGGCAGTGAAGCCACTAAGATACAAGAGGTTACTGAGTGTAAGAACAAGAAAATAATGAGAAACATTATGGAGCGAGAAGAATAGAAGACTAGCCAAGACAGTAGATGGCGATTAACATTGCATTTAAATTTTTGAAGATGACATTGGCTGGAAAGATTGGAGCTGGAAGAGAGTTCCACAAAAGAGAAGTGTGAGAAAAGAAACTTAGCATAGAACTTACGGTTACATTTAGCCAATTCAAATGTGAATAGTACTTCGCTTATATTTTTCAAGTCTAGATACCACACTGAAGAGTTCATTGGAAGAATTACCACGGAAATATGTATAGAAAAGACACATGGAAGCAACTTTACGGCGGTGACTGAAGCCGAGATGCCAGTTCAGGATCAATAATATTGCTGATTCATCTTTGGATTTTATCAAGAATCTCTAAATATATAACAGAAGCCCCGGACATTATGTTTCAGCAATATTCGAAGCATGGATGGATGATAGCCTTATAATTAAGATCGATTCTGCAGAGAAAATAATCTGTTAAGCACGATATAATGACCCAATTTTCTTCGCAGCTGACCTAGCAATGGATTCAATATAGTCTCTCAACTTCATATCAGCTGAGAATGTTAAACCGAAAAGGCGAAACGAGTCACTGTCATGGAGGTTAGCTTCAGCCATGCTGATGAGTGACAGAAACAAGTCTTTCAGGTGATTAATAGAAGTAAGTTTCGTTTTGGAGTCATTCAAATTAAACCATTCCTTGCCCCAGTTTTTAGGTTATTCTAAACGTCCATTACATTCACCTACGTGCTAATACTCTTGGGAAAGGTATGAATACATCTTTCATACCAATCTATGGGTAAATCGTAGGACAGTCTGGATTCTTCGGCCTTGGGTGACAACCAGTCTGTCGCAGTGTTTTAATACACAGAAAAGAATGAGT